AAGCTAGGGTGGTGCGGAGAGTGTGGGTGAGCCTTCGTGGACTCATTTCCCCATCCTCCCAAAGATTCATCAACTATTCGCAGCCGTTGGGAATCTGTAGGGTCATGACCCCTTGGGACCAACAGTGATCTATTATCACATATCCCTTGGATCTGACTCTTTATGTACGTGTGTTTGTGCTTCCTGAATCTCCATATCCTGACCTCCACAATTGTGTGTTTTTTTTTTGTGTAAATCTGTGCCTTGGATCAAGGCGTTCTTTGTCCCACATGATGCCGCATTGTCTGGTCCAGCAAACGCCAATCGTAAAGCAGTGGGTGAATTCCGGTGTTTTCTTTTCCGTAGCACAACCACAGACATTAGTCTATCGCTTGTCCGCAACAGCCGATTAAACTCGAAGAGGATCAAATGTTTGCGATAAAGACAACCAAAAATGGGTGTTGTTCAATGAACGACTGGTTCCATTCATTTACATACGCCGTAAGAGTTGTGGTGAAGATGCGATTACAGCGGAGCCTGCTTCAAGGCTTCAAAAAAATAATCAAATAATAATGTGCGAGACCGACCATACAGAGTGGCCCGCTTCTCTCCGCAACAAAACACAACGATTCGTACCCCATGACACCTAGGAACACCGCAAAATAAGTGGAAGCCCCGCGGCACGAGTCGAGTAGGCACTACCGTTCGATAAGACCGTACCGTACAAAATTTGTACTTGCACGTGATACGATATCGCACGCGCCGTCTTGGTCCGCCGTTGAATATTTTTCCGAACGGCACAGAGGCATGTTCCACTATTCTCTGTTCACCTCGGGGCCACATTTTCGACGGGTGCCAACTTGGGTACGGGGAACATAGAGCAACAAAGGAGCCGAGTGTCGTTGCAGAGCTTGCTGAGCCATGTCCGACTTCGTGTTCGAGGCGTCGTAGATCCCTGGCCACCCCTCTTGCGTGTACAACCAAGCCAGAATGCGTTGTGCGCTCGTAACAGCGAGCACATGGTCTGGCGATGCATATCCTGCTACGTTGATCCCAAGCGCACACGAAGCGAAACTTGCGCGACACAACATTTTTGCAAAGTTTCATATTCGCGACTCACCTTCGTAGCTCACAGGAACTGCACGATGTTCCGGAAAACATCTTCTTCCAAGCCACCACAGTTGGTTGCCATCACGCCGTTCAAGCCTCTAGCGCGTACATCACCCGATGCTGCTGCTGGAACGCCTCGCACTTGCACTCGCACTCTTCTCCCAATCAATCAAGCGTTCGCTCCTCCACCATCCGCTCTCATCCGCACCTTGTCCGGGAAAGTACGGCACAAGACTAGCCAGCATCGATGACGTCATGTTCTGTCCTTCTGAGCGTCCGCCAACAGCACTTGAACGGGAGAAGCTTCTGCTATTAGATAAAGGCTGACCATTTGACTACGTGCACAGTCATCGATGACTGTGCACGTAGTCAAATGGTCAGCCTCTAACCAGTAAAAGATACACTCTAGGCTCGTAGCCAATCCCAGTGGACCTGATAGGGTGCAGTGATCTCCGGGGACGAACCCCTCGCCACAAGATGCTGCTATTAGCCGATAATGGTGCCCTAGAGCGATCCACTGGGATTCGAACCCGTGCGTGAATCCTTTACTNCGAGAGTGTATCTTTTATTAGATAAAGGCTGACCATTTGACTACGTGCAAAGTCATCGGATGACTGTGCACGTAGTCAAATGTTCAGCCTGTATCGAATATCTGACTAGACAAATGGTTTCACAATTGGTGACAAGAGTTTTTACGCACGGGTTCGGATCTCGGCTATCCACTATCACAAGCACCCTTAGTTCTTACGTCCCCGGAGATCACTTCACCCTGTCAGATCCACTCGACCCCTCGCCACAAGGTGCTGCTGGAAAAGAACTAAGGGTGCTTGTGATAGTGGCCATCTGGGATTCGATCCCGTGCGTGTACGACTTGTTCGTATAGGCTTAACCCATTAGACTACTGAGTCATCCGATGACTGTGCACGTAGTCAAATGGTCAGCCTTTATC